GGGCGCACGGGGCGCGCCCCGCGGGGCGCGGCGGGGGGATTTGTCGTTCCCTCGGCAGCGGGGGAGTTTGGCACTGGAAGCCCCAGACAGGATCGCGTCGTCACAAAAAGCAGGACGGCCAGTGTTTCGCTATGTTCGGCCCTCCGGGGGCCCTCGCCGGGCCTCGGGGCCGTCAGAAAACGATTCAGGATGAGAAACCGGTCCCGGGGAAAGGGTCGGGACTTCCGGGGACCCCGTCCTGAAAAAATCAGGACGTCGCATGTCTGGGACCACTCCAGGAAGATCCTTCCAACATTTCCCACTTGTGGAGCAGTGGCGAGGCGTCCCGGCCGGCCTATAGGCCCACCAAAGAACGTTCTAAGAACCTCTGTGGTCCGTCACCCAGACCCCCCCGAGCAAGGAAGAAATCGCAACGGGAGGTGTTTCGCCATTTTCGGCCTCTGGGGGCCCTTGCCGGGCCTCGGGACCGTCCACAAAACGACTCGGGCTGAAAAGCCGGTCCAGGGGAAGAGGTCGAGACCTCGGGGGATCGACGTTATGAAAAAATCGTGACGTCGGGGGCTTGGTTTTTCGGATCCCCACAGCGCGGCCCTCGGCCGGAGTGACCTCCGGCATGCGGTGTTCGCGGGGCGCGGGGGGGCGGGGGGGGGCGGGGGGGCAAGCCCCAGCATGCAGGCCGCCACCGTCGCGTTGCCCGCGACGCTCGGCAGGCCGCGCCCTTAAGAGGTCCCCCAGCTCCACTGTTGATGGTCCCTGGGGGCCTGGAAACGGCCCCCGGAGGTTCTGAAATCGGGGAGCGCGCCCAGATGGAAGCCATGATGCTGTCGGAGATCTGGGCCTAACTACCTGGGGCCTCTCCAGCCCGCGCGTGGTGTTTTGCATCTTCGGGGGGCCCTTCCTGTCCTGCAGCTGGCGGCGGCGGCCTATTATTCTTACTCCGACTTGGGTTGGCTCGACGCGGATTCGACCTGCATTCGACTTAGATTCGACACGGATTCGACGCGCTCGGCACGGATTCGACGCGGATCGCGGCGCGACGGGACAAACAAGGTCCCCCCGAGATGCAGCTCACGGGGAGGCTGGGAACACATATACGGGCGGGGCCCGGTTGCGGTGCATGCTATAGCGACCTCCAGTTGTTTCTGCACCCCGAACTTGAAAGACAGGTCTGCCGGCTTCTTTCGTGTTACTTCCCCACTCCAGCCCGAGACCCCGACGTTATGATTTCTTCATGACGTCGACCCCCGAGGTCTCGACCCTTTCCCCAGGACCGTTTTTTCGTCCTGTGCTGCTCTTTGACGGTCCCGAGGCCCGGTGAGGCCCCCCGCAGGCCGAGAACTGCAAAGACAACTGTCCGTCGTGATGCCTTCATGGTCCCAGGGGGTCTGGGTCAGACCACTCTGCCCGCAGTGGCTTCAGCCCTCAGTGTTGCCAGCCTCCCCGTCACGCGACCCAGACCCCCGGCGTCGAGATTTCTTGACAACGTCGACCCCGAGAGGTCTGGATCCCCTTCCCTGGTGACCCGGGTTTCACCCCGCATCGTTTTCTGGCGGCCCCGGGGGGCCCAGGAAGGGCTCCCGGAGGCCGAAAACAGCGAAACACCGCCCGTCATGATTTTTGTTCATTTCTCGAGGGGGTCTAGTCTGGGTCTGGGTTTCCTTATTGGTTTTTTTGTAATACTCGAGCGCATTCAAAATAGCCACTTGCTCGTGGCGTGTGGCCCCTGAGGCGCCTGGCGCCGCGCGGTCCCTGCCGCGGCCGGGGCGGGCGGCGCCGCCCTCGCCCTCTGGGAGCTCGCGCGCGGCGCGGGCCCCGCGCGGCGCGGGGCTCCGGCGCAGCGCCCGCCCCGCCCGCCGCCGCTGCCCGACTGGCTGGCGGCCCGCGGGGGGCGCGCGGCGCCGGGCGTCGCGGTCGCGGAGGTCCCGGGCGCGGGCCAGGTCCATGGGCGGCGCGCAGAGATCCGCAGGCCTCCCAGGTGCCCAGAGATCCCAGGCCCCCCTCCTCCTCCGCCTCCCCCCTCCTCTCCTCCTCCTCCCTCCTCCTCCTCCCTCCTCCCTCCCCTCCTCCTCCTCCTCCTCCCCCCTCCTCCTCCTTCTCATCCTACTCCTCCACCTCCTCCTCCTCCTGCTCCCTTCCCTTCCTCCTCCTCATCCAGTACCTCCTCCTCCTCCTCCTCCTCCTCCTCCTCCTCCTCCTCCTTCTCCTCTTTCTCCTCCCCCTGGGCGGGAGGCTTTTCGCAGTGTGCTCGGGCCCTGGGTGCCCTTCCTAATTATAGGCATCGGGACCGTTCGGACTTATACTATAGGCATCGGGACCGTTCTGAAAACGACTGTCAGGATGAAAAGCCGGCCCCGGGGAGAACGGGTCGGAGCCTTTGGGGGTGGACGTCGTCAAAAGATCATGCGGCGTCGGGGATCCCCAGACCCCCTCGAGTCATGAAAATCAGGACGAGAGGTCTTTCCCCATTTCCGGCCTCTGGGGGCCCTTGCCGGGCCTCGGGACCGTCAAAACACGACTCGGGATGAAAAATTTGTCCCGGGGAATAGGGCGAAACCTCTAGGGGTCGACGTCATGAAAAAATCATGACGTCGGGGGTCTGGGTCTGGGGCTCGAGGATCTATGATTTTGTCAATGCGGCGGTCCTCCCGGCTTCTGGCCTCCGCGGGGCCCGCTATTGCATCGGGCCCGGGGGGGCCACCAAAAAAATGGAGCCGGGACGAGAAACCATCCAACGGGGAAGGGGTCGGGACCTCTGGGGTGAAGTCGGGCGGGTCCTTACAGGAGGAAAATGCAAAAGCAGCAACACAAGTCTGGGGGCGATGTTGGGATTATGTTTCGAGTATGCTTGAGCATCTTTGGGGTATTCTTCATTTGTCGTCGAAAATCCGCCCGTATGTGGGGGGACATGCCCGACCTACATAACTCTGGGGCCGCGGATTGGACAGATCCTGTCGGCGGATGTCTGGGTGGGCCGACGAGCCTCACGACGCGCGTCAGCCCAAGCGTGCGTGTTGCCCCGTTCGGCTCCGCCGATGGTGCGCAGCCTGTCGTCCGGCCGTCGTTGCGCCGCCTGTGTCGCGTTGAAGGGCCTGCCCCGGTGGGCGGCGCGCTTGCAGTGCGCGCGTGAAGGCGAGACTGCCGGCGCGCGGGTGCAGGGCCCATGCCGGTTCGATCGATGCGATTCGATCTCGATTTCTCCAGGTCGATCCGATTCGGCCTCGACTTCCTGGCGATCCGTTGCGTCCTGATGAGGCGCGCGTGTGGTGCACACCGCTCTACGCTCTGGAATTTTTGAAGGGCGCGTCGCTCCGCCGGTTCTGGCCCACCACGCCTCGGCGCGACACGCGATCCGCCTCCTGGCCCCCAACGCACAACATCAAAACATGAACAGGGAATGGACGTCTACGCCCTTTGACGCCGATGCCCGATGCACCGCCGATGCGGCGCGATCTTCCGACCCCGTCTATACCCGGACCCCATCTATAGGAGGCATTTGGCAGAGGGGGCGGGCTTGAGGTCTGAACATGTCTGCGCCTTGGCATCGCTCGGACGTGCCCATTTCATGTGTGCTCGGCGAGGGCCATCGAGGAGCATCCCGGATCATCGAGCGGAGGGGGCGGCCTGAGGTCTGAGCGTTTCTGCGCTGGAGGTTGGTGGGTCCGGCGCGGAGGGGTCGGCGGTTCGAGGTGCCGTCGTGCACGCATGGCGCACGGCAGCTGAAAACAGAGCAGTTCGGGTTCGAGGCTCGCTGCTCCTTGGGTCCTTCCACGGTTGCTCCCGTAGCCCTCGTCGTGCGCCCGGGCTCTTACCGGTGCCAAGAAGGGGCTTCGTTCCTTGTCCAGCGTTCCTTCTGCCAGCAGCCCGACTGGATTGCGTGCAGCAGTGCGCGACCATGGATGTGGGGGGGGCGTGCGCGAGCTAATGCACAGGCGACAACTCCTGCGTGTGGAGCGAGCTACGCAGCTGCACCCACGCGCAACTGCTGCATCCAGCGCGCAAGCCATTTGAATCCAGGCGCGAACTCTCTCTTGCAGGTACTTATGGCACCTCTCCCCGCGGACCCATCTGCGTCAGACCCGCGACTCTTGTGCAGAGCGTTGCACCTGTTTCCCTCCTGGCTTTTTCGCCCCATTGGCATGCCCGGGGGTCAGCACAGATCGGTCCAGCGCGACATGCCGCAGGCATGACCAGCCTTGAACGTATCCCGATTCCTAAGATTGACACGCCAAGAGGCGATGACAATCTTAGGGATTCGCCATCAAAGAATAAGGGAATCCCTAAGAATGGCATCGTGATGAGGAGGTGCCCAGCATAGGGATAGGGATATGTTCCAGGCTGGTAAAGGAAGATGGAACCCAAGGCTCCCTGTCGTGAGCTTCTGCTCTGCTGCGCTTTTTCGCGACACGAGATCTCGGCGTGGCGTGGGCGGGGCGGCCTTCTGAGAAGGCGCGGGAGCCTCTGAGCAGGCAGGGGGGGGCTTCTCACGAGCGCTGGGAGGCTCCTGAGAAGCCTTCTCGGGAGCCTCCAGGCCCTTCCAAGAAGGCCCCCCTCCTCGTGAGGAGCACCGCGCCTTCCCTCCTCCTCTTCCTCCTCCTCCTTCTCCTCCTCCTCCTCCTTCTTCTCCTCCTCCTCCTCCTCGGTAGCCAATTTGGCTCAAGCCACTTGGGCCCGAACCATTTTGGCGGGGCTTATTCTCCTGTGCTTTCTCGAAGCGCTTGAGGGACTTTGCCCGCGCACCCCGCGGAGAAATTGCGCGGCACCGACCAGAGCAGGAGAGAATCTGTCAGTTGTCGCCATGGCGCCTGGTGCTCTCCTCTGGATTCGTTGCCCGTCACGCCAGTCCTGCGAATACAACAGCAGATTGGCTCGTAATCTCTGTGTCCGCGGCACCTGTGGGGAGGAAGTTGTGATGTTCAAGCCGAAGTCCAAAGTCCCCTAGGTAATTACAGCTTGATCTTTCTGATAGTGAGAAGGAGGAGACCACCCTCGCGCACCCGAAGGGGATCCTCCGCGACCCGCGGAGCGCCTCGCCAGCCAACGGCCCAGGGGCTGGCATAGGCGGCCGCAGCCGTGGCAGTGGCAAGAAGCCGCCGTGGCGTGAGGAGGTCAGCGAGGAAGGAGGCAGCCCAGAGGAGGTCGTCTCGCTGCTGAGTCGCGCTTTGGCGGCCACTGATGATAGTAGTCTCAAGTCTACCCTTCATCAGCAGGTCGTCCAGCTGGAGAGGGAGGTCGAGGAATCCAAGCAGCAGGAGACTTTGGCCGTGGAACTGCTCCGTCGGGCTGATGGATTTCTCCGTGACGCTGATCACAAACATCCACAGGTTATTGCGAACGTGCTTCGCCTCCGCCAGTCGCTCTTCACGGCCGAGTCCAAGGAGGCAGACTTGGCCAAGCAGCTGGCGCAGGCAGCCTTGGGCAGGAAGGCGGCAGTGGCGACGGTGACTCACGCCGAGGGCGTGGGCGGAGCTGAGGCCCCCGCTGCCGCGCCAGCCAAGGAGGCCGAGGATGAGAAGTGCATCTTTCACATTTCATGGGGCGCTGATTTTTCAGCAACATCGACGAGCTCTAGTGCGAGGAAAGTGAACGAGCGGGCCTCGAGGATATCCACGAGCGCCTGCTCGCCACCGAGCGCGAGATGTCGGCCAAAGAAACGGAGGCCCGTGGTGGGCTGGCCCGCATGGAGAAGCATCGGAAGGAGATCGCCGATCGCATGGCGAAGAACAGGAAAGTGAACGTCGACGGTGGCCAGGCGGTCGCGGCCCCAGGTGGCGGCGACAACGATGGCGCAGGCGGGCCTCCTGCTGGCGCGGCTGCCCCCCGAGGCCGCCGCGTCGCAGGCGGAGGCTGCCAAGGCCGCCGAGCTCGACGCGGCGGCCCAGGGGCCGTCAGTGGCCAAGTTCGCGGCTGAGGCGCACTCGGGCAAGAGCGCGAAGGGCCAGGAGCTCGGCGGCTGGAGGCGGCGCGGCTGCTGCCGGCGGGGCCGCGGCCGCTCGACCAGGCCCTGGAGCGCCGGCGGGCGCCGAGGCGGCGCGGGCAGCGCGGGGGCCTGCGGCCGCCGCTGGGGAGCGCATGAATGGCATCTCGCGCTTATTATCTGCCAGTGCGCCCTGCATGGTGGCTAAACCGTGGTCGTGCGTTGGCAACTCTGACTACGACTTCTACGCAGTAGTGAAGACCCATGCACATCAACAGGCTGTTCTTCGACGGCGGGGCGGAAAGGCCAGGGGTCGCGGCTTTCGATCCGTTTTCCTTTATCCAGCTCGAACTCGAGATCGACATGTGTCGCTGTCGCAGGAGGAGCATGCCGAAGAGGGTGGAGAGTGGTTACGTGCCAAGAACCATCTTCGAGCTCATTGTCTACCTGCCGCTCGCGCAGCTGGGGGTGGGGGCGGCCGCGGGCGCCGTCTCACACGGCGCTCGACGGCTTCTCTGTCATGCCGATCCATGTCCAGGGGTTCTCGATGGTCCTCATTGCCTTTTACGCGTTCCACAGTGCAGGGCTCACTGGGGCCAAAAGTCTGGCAGATTCCAGAGGCTCGCTGCGCTCGTCCATGCACTGCGGCCCCCATGGGCTGTCATAGGGGACTTTCACATGAGCCCTTCGGCGTTGGCCAAGACGGGCCCCCTGAAAAATATCGGCGCTGCGATATTGACGGCAGACGTCGAGGCCACCTGTTTGCCCTCCACGGGAACCCATATTGATTGCATCATGTGTAGTATCGCTGCCAGGCCTTGCATCCGCCAGGTGCTTCCAGTCGAGTCGGCCCCCTGGAGGCCCCGCGTAGGATTGGAGGTTCATTTTCGCAACACGGGGCAGCTGATGGCGACTAGGGCCACGTAGGCACCAGGTCGCCTTCCCCAGGCCCCTCGCCCATCCCATATCCTGACTCGTGGCCCTAAGTCGAGTGCCGTTCGTGCTCGTAGGATTGCGCAGCAGCAAGTGGCGTTAGAGTCCAGGAACGAAAAGTTCCACACCTTGCTTTGGGGATTGCGCTAAATCCTCGAGGGAACATCAGGTTGAGGAAAGTTCTGGGGTTGAGCCCTCGTCCCAAGCTGTAGGTATTGTAGTAGATGCATCTAATGAGTATGTTGATGAGTCTCTTCTTAGTTTCGAGTTTTCGGAGCGGCCGCAGGGGGGGGGGGCCCGCGGGCTCATGAGCTCAACTTCTGCCCCGATTCTGGCTTCAGTGCGGCCATATCATGAAGGTGGCTCTTTTGCTGGGGGCCCTTGGGCTCGCGCGGTCCAGGGGCCTGCCTGCTTCTGGGGGTGGGCCGTCCTCTGGGCAGTCTCCTGGGTCGTCTTCGAGGCCATCTCCCGGGGGCCGCTCCATCGGTTGGCCGTCCGCCGACCGATGAGAAACTGGACCCCCGGCGCCCAATTCGGCCCGCGGTTGATGAGGCTACGGGGGGGCAACCCAGAGCTGAGGCTAGCTCGGGGCGCGCCGTCCGCAGCGCGCATGAGCAGGCCCAGTCTGAGCAGTCGCCAGGCAACACCGCGACGACTCCCACCTTACGGATCCTCGAGGCCTCGTGGGAGCTAGCTCGGAAGGATGTGGGATTTCTGTCGGGTTCTCTGTCCCTTGACCCTCTCTGTCCTGCTGCGCTCTTCCGTGGCCGTTCGGTTCAAACTTGCTCAAACCACTTTAGCGACAGGCCTCCACTCCAGCTGGGCGTCGGCCGTTGCATCCACGACCACCAGTCATCATGATGTCTCGCTGCCAGCGGGGCCTTCGCGATTGGCTGGAGCGCGCTTCGTCGCGCAGGAGTTGAAGATGCCTACCAGGAGCCTCGCCGCTGAGGGATAGGCTGAGTTGCTGGTGGACTCAGCTCCACGCACTTCTGCACGTGCTGGCCCGCAATCGTTGCGAAGGCAACGGAGCGGCTCTGCAGCCGCGCAGCTTGGAGTCGATGGCCGGCGCCTCGACGCATGTCCAGAGCGCGCCCGCACGGTTCTGCTTCCAGGCAAAGATTGGGACTGGCATGAGTGGACAGAGGCCCTCACCAACATCGGTGGGTGCACGGTTTTAAAGTCGGATGGTCTGGTGCACGGCTCGAACGGATCAGCAGTCGGGCCCAATGATTGTCGAGGTGTTCAGCAATCCCTGAGCGACTTTGAGGATATCGTGGCAGACAAGGCATCGCTGGGCATTATTCACAAATCCGTGTGCCCTACACCTCTGGTCGACCTGGAGCATGAGTACCAGGGCCAGGTATTGTGCAACCCTCGCGCTATCGCTGATGCTAAGTCGGCCAAGTGGCATGATAAATGGGCCCCTGAGCCGGTGGACGAGGATCGTGTATTCAGAGTTTTTCGGAAGGTGGAAGCAGCCGTGGAACGGGCGATCCCCCCACCCCCCACCCCACCCATCATTGCGAGCGGCATCCGAGAGGCTCTCAAGCAGATGGAGGCGCTTCGCCCCCGCTTGATCTGGAGCGGCTACCAGATGCTGCGCTGGCTGAATTGGCCTTGCTATTCACGGCTTGCGAAGAGTGTTTGTGTTGGCCAGACGAACTACTGCTCATCTTCGGGAGGGTGCTCTCCAAGAAGACTCAGGGAGCTCGGATTATCGGATTGGTGCCGCTCCTCGGCCGCCTCTGGTCCTGGATCAGAGAGCAGCTCGTGAGAGAGTGGTCAGCGGGTGCCGAGGGGCGGTGGGGTGCAGCAGTTCGTGGAAATTCTAGTATTCGAGAAGCGTACCTTCGTGCTGTGCAGGAGGGGCGCATGCATCTCCATGTGAATGTCGGCCACGGCCTCGTCGACCTTGAAAGCTTCTACGACGCGGTCGAGTGGCCGTTGTTTTGCTGAAGCAGCGCTGGACATGCATTTTCCTCTTGTCATTTTATATTTGGAGCTTCTCCAATGCGAATCGCCGAGGGTCCTCAGCCAGCTCGGGGCCACCTCGGCCCCTTTGCAACCCACTCGCAGCATCGTTCAGGGGTTGAGATCGGGGACGCGTTGCGGGCGGGCGCTCACAAACTTTGTGCTGAGGAGGGTTGTCGAGGGCCACCCGTTAGCGAGCCACCGTGCATGGATCGACGACTCGTTGCAGCAGGTCCGAGGACCCCGTGCCCACATTCGTCTGAGTTCGAGGGCCTGCATTCTGAGCGCGTGCAGATCTTTGGAGGCGAGCAAGCTTCGAGTGACACCAAAGTCGGTGGTCATGTGCACGGATGTTCGCGACGCTCGCTGGGTCGCCCGTGCTCCGCGACATGTTGGGTGCCGCATCACCGCGCAGTCGCAGGCGATCCTCCTCGGGGTGGATCCTAGTTGCGGCGCGCGCCTGGCCCGAGCGACGCGGGCCAAGCGCGACATGACATCAAGCGCGGCGGCATTGGCCTCGAGATCGGCAGGTTCGCCAAGGCCGCCGAGCGGCGCAAGGTCACCGGCCGCCTGGAGCTCCAGGGGGCGCAGGCCGCTGGCGCCCAAGGCTTCCAGGTGCACAGGGCCTTCGGCCAGAGGCTCGCCCAGGCGCGTCGGCGCTCGGGCTTGGCGCGCGCAGCGCCGACGAGGGGCCGCCGCTTGACGACCTTCCTCGCGCTGAGGGCCCCTCGGCAGGGTCCAGGCGTTGAGCGGCCCACGCAGCGCCTCGACATGCACTTGTCTGTCTGGCGAGACCAACCCGATATCAGAGCAGGTAAGAGTTTGGCGATCGGTGGTAGGGCGGCCTCAGGGAGTTCCAGCACAGTACCGCGCCAAGTACGCGCGGGGCCCAGTTTCAGCAGTTATCTTGCACTTGATAGAATCGGGTTGGTCAGTTTCCTCAGCCACGGGCCGGGGCATTCCAGAGCCCCGCGAGTTCGCTGGCGGCGAGTGGTGGTTCGACGACGCCATGCGCACGGGAGTGCGAGCACTTGATGGCCACGCAGGTGGTCTCACAGATTTTCCGGAAGTCCTTCAACGTCGGCATTGGACGCAAGCACGCGGTCACTTCTGTGGTGAAGGGTGAAGGTTTGCAGGGCGGCTCCGGTGTTGCTTATTCTCGCGCGTTGCTTCGGCAGTTGCATGAGGCCCCGCAGATCGGTCACAGGTCAGTGAAGTCTTGTTGTCAGCGGCAGTTGTTAGCGCGTGGCCCCGTGCGCGCAAGAAGGCGAATATCCGTCGTTTCTGTGGCACTGACCAGTGTCCTCGCTGTAAGCTCGAGCCCGAGACCCAGCTACATCGAGGTTGGACCTGCATCCACAACGTTGACACGGACGCGCACACGCAGGGCGAGGACATGGCGCACCAGGCCACGGCCCAATCGGAGGCGGACGCCGCCTTCTGCCTCAGGGCCCCCCTGCCGACATCGCGGGCGGCGGTGCCGCCCCCTGCCCGCGAGGACGACTGGATGGTGACAGGGCTGTTCGAGTTCGGGCCTGGCTGCCTAGGGCGCGGCGTCGCCCAGGCGCCTTTGCTGCTTTTTGGCGACGCCGGCGGTGGTCTCGACACGTCCATCACCAAATCCCGTCGAGTAGGACGCGCCGTTGCTTTTTTTCGCTCGCTGGAGCCCGAGGTGGTTCGGACGGAGCCCATCAGTGGCCCCCTTAGCGGCGACCGCCAGGCAGTCCCGCGAGGGGAGTTGAGAAGTTTTCTGCTTGCAGTCTGGGCTTCGAGCGGAGATATCACAGATGTCATGGACTGTGAGCCCGTCGTCAAAGGCTGGTTTGCTCGCAGATTTGAATTTCCGAGTGGCCCCGACGCCGACCTCTGGGCGCGCTTGGGGCAGCTCGCGCAGGCTCGGAGTGCGGACTGCACCGCTGTCATCTCTATTCACTCCCACCTCGGCGCGGCTGAGATTCAGTCAGGCGCTGCTCCGAGGTGGGCCGTCATTGGCAACGCAGTTGTAGATGTCATTGCTGGCGCCGCAGCCTGTGCGGCCCGTCTCCCAGAGTGCGAGAGGCATCGAGCTCTGTTGCATGAGCGGCGAGCGAGGCTTGTCCGCCCCCGCTTGCCGAGGTCGACGCTTGACGCTATGGAGGCTGATGCGAACCCTGAGTTAAAGCATCGCCCTCTCTCGTCCCCCGTCCTCATTCTGCTGCTGCTCTCTCCTTTTTCTCTTCCTCCCACCGTCTCGATGAGAGTGGGAGGAGGTGCGTTTGTTGTGGAGGCTCGGCCAGCAAGGCCGCGGCAACCAACTGGCGCCAACCTGAATGCTTCCAGCCAATCAATTGTAACGGTACCATCTTATATAAACCCCCTCTGGCGCGTCTGCACATAGCGGGGGGGTGGACCAGTCTCATGTCATGCAATATCATACACACCTCCAGCTCTGGTCTTGTAAGCAGGGCATGTTTTTGCTTCCTCGGCCTGGCGTGAAATCGGCAAGATTTGTTCCTGGCGCATCACTCCACATTGAGTTGGATATATTGACAGGATTTCGCGTGGATTATCGCGCAAAGTTTTAAGTGCAAAGGAGAAGCAGAGCCGTGGTCGTGTATAGTCTGCCTTCATGTGTAATCCGGCACGTCATGCAGGCCCGTTTGAGTGTCACATGGACATACTCCTCCTCCTCCTCCTCCTCCTCCTCCTCCTCCTCCTCCTCCTCCTCCTCCTCCTCCCTCCTCCTCCTCCTCCTCCTCCTCCTCCTCCTCCTCCTCCTCCTCCTTTCTCCTCCTCCTCCTCCTCCTTTCTCCTCCTCCTCCTCCTCCTCCTCCTCCTCCTCCTCCTCCTCTTCTTCCTCCTCACCTCAACCCAATCCGAAGGCCCGAGTTTCGGGCTGGGGGGGATACGGGTTCCACAAATGTGGGTTTTTAACGTTACCCCTTGTGCGCGCCGCCAACTGTCATCGACCATAAAAGAACCCTTAACCCTGATAACACAGTGAAGACGTGGCCTCACTGAGGCCACCGCCTTTGCAGTAGGGATAATGGATCTGGGCGGCCTAGTTGGATACATCTGCAGAAAGGACCCCTTATTCCTACTGTTATTGGCACTTCTAATTTAGATCCCTTACAAAAGAGTTAGGGGTCCTTCCACGGTTAATCAAACAAGGGCCTCGTCAACGCGGGCGCACAGCAGATCGCCGCCGGCGAGGAGCTGCTGCTGGTGCCGTGGCCGCTGGTCGTGTCGCGCGACGCGGCCGCGGCGGACCTTCGAGGGACAAAGTGCTGCACTTAAGTCGGGCATGTCTTTCTACAGGAGGAATGTCCAAAAATAGTAAAAAAATGGTCCAGGGACGATTTGAGAACGTTTTTTGGCAATTTTGGTGCATGTTCTGACTATTCTCATTTGTTCGCCGAGAATCCGCCTGTATGTGCCCGACCTAAGACTGCACGAGTGAACGCGCCTTTTCGGAGGTCCGCGCTAAATTTCCCCCGCCTGGGGGACCGGCCTTCCCAGACCCCCTTGAGCAATGCAGAAATCACGGCGGGAGGCTCTTGTTCGCCATTTATTCGGCCTCAGGGTGCCCTTCCCAGGCCTCGGGAGGGTCAACAAAAACGACTGAGGATGGAAAGCTGGTGCCCGGGAATGGGTCCAGACCTCTGGGGGTCGACGTTGTGACAAACATCGCGACGTCGGG